CTCTGGCCGGTCGCGGTGGGGATCGAGTGGCGCTACTACCAGAACCTGCGCTGGATCAGGCTCCGCCGCTCCCGGGCCAGGGAGGAGACGGAGCGGGGCAGGAGGAGGGGGAGGCGGAGGAGGAGGGAAGGAGGGAAGGAGGAGGAGGAGGAGGAGGAGGAGGAGGAGGAGGAGGAGGAGGAGGAGGAGGAGGAGGGAGGAGGAGGAGGAGGAGGAGGAGGAGGAGGAGGAGGAGGAGGAGGAGGAGGAAAGGGCAGGCCAGCCGCACCTGGGGGGAGTTGCGGTCCTTACCCCCCCTTCAGGGGGCCCACCGACTTCGACACCCCTCCGAGGAGATCGTCGGCACGATGGGTCCCCCCTGGGAGGTAGGGAGCACGGCTTCCCCCAGTCGCGGCCGGTCGGCGAGGCCAGAAGGAAGGGGGGATTTTTTGTGTGCGGCGGTCGTGGCACCCGCTGCGGCGCCGCCGTTCTCCTTCCTGCCGAGGGGCGGCACGCGCGCCGCCGGGACGTATGCCCCGTGCAGCCCGAGCAGGAGCGCAGCGGGACCCCCCCGCGATGCCCAGACGGTGCCGTGTGGCGGTGGCTTCAGGCCTGGCGCTCCGGGAGGGGGCGCCCACGACGTGCTCTCCATGGGTACGTGGCGGCCTGCCGTATGGGCGTGACGCCCCGCAGCAGGGAGAGCCCGAGGCCACGGCCGCGCCGAGTGTCCGAGGGGCGGCGGGCGGTGGGCACGTCGTGTTTTTTGTTTGTCGGGGGCCGCACGGAGGACCGAGGCGAAGGCCCCCAGACACTCGGGCTCCGCATGCGGACGTGCACGGAGGCGCCGTGCTCGACGGCGGCGCCGCCGCGGGTCTGCGCAGTGCCCGCGGGCAGTGCGCTTCTGCGGTGTGCTCGGGGGCTCGTGGACTGTCCGTCGGATGCAGCTCGCGGGAGGTCAGATGCGGCCCTGGCGGTGGCAAATCCGTTGCCGAAAACCAACCCACTCCGGCATGGTCCCGCCCAGTTCCGCTCAAACCCGCCTAATCTGGCGCAGCCTTGAGCTCAATCCAGGATGATCCAGTTCAGTGACCCTTTCATCAAGGCCTATAGACCTTGATCGTTCTTGCGAAGACTTCCCAGAAGGTTCCTTGTGATGGGGCGCGCTGGGCTGCATCGGCCGCCGCTCATGGTCACTCCGCTCGCGCGCGCACGCGGGCGCACTGCTGCCACCGAATGGCATCCGGCTGGGACGCCGCGGCCAGAACAGCCGCGTCGGCCCCGCGGAGAGGGCTTGTGGAGCCGCGGAGCTGTGGAGACGCGGCGGTGAAATGAGGACCACTTCGGGCTCTGGAGGGGCTGTGGTGAGAAATTGTGAGAAGGGCGGGCCTGCGAGGAGGACCAGCCTCGCGTCGAGGCGCGGGGCCAGGGAGGAGACTGCAGCCTCCCGCCCTTGGGGGCGCGCCGCCGTGCGCGAGAGCGCCCCGCGGCCGCCGCGGGCGATGCGCGGCGGAGAGACAGAGTCAGCCATCGCGGCTGGGGGGGAACCTCTGGGAACCTCCGCCTCCTCCTCCTCCTCCTCCGCCTCCTCCTCCTCCTCCTCCTCCTCCTCCTCCTCTCTTCCTCCTCCCTCATCTTGCTCCCTCTCCTCCTCACTCCTTCACTTCCTCATCGCTCCGCCTGGTCTTCCTCATCCTCCTCCTCACTCCTCCTCTTCCTCAGCGCTCATCCCTCTGGGAGCGGGAAGAGCAGGATGCTAACCGACGTGAGCTTCTCCGACAGCATCGACGCCGTGCCCTCTGGAGTCTTCCAGTTCCAGTTCCCCGTGAGGGTCCCTCCCGTCGCCCCCCGAGCAATGTCCCTCCACCCCGGCCATCCCATCTGCTATCCCTCTCTTTCTCTCTCTTTCTCTCTCTCTCTCTCTCTCTCTCTCTCTTTATCTCTGATTCCAACTCTCTCTTCCCTCATCACTTCGCCAGCATCCTCGTCCTCCCTTCCCTCATCCAACTCCTGTCTTCCTCCTGACCAATCGTTGTCCTCTGTTGTCTCATTGCCACTCTTCTTTTCGTTTTCTCTCTCTCTCTCTCTCTCTCTCTCTATATATATATATATAGAGAGGGAGATGTCCTCCTCCTCTTTCTCCTCCTCCAACATAATCAGCAGCATCAGCATCATTATCATCATCGTCATTTCCATCACCATCAGCAGCATCTGCATCAGCATCCGCATCATCATCTGCATCATCATCAGCATCATCACCATTTATCAGCAACAGCAGCATCGCCATCGTCAGCAGCCATGTTCGTTATAGACCATCATCGTCATCATCATCATCATCAGCAGCAGCAGCATCACCGTCAGCATCAGCATCATTATCAGCATCATCATCGTCGTTATCAGCATCCTCGCCATCATAATCATAATCAGCATCATCATCAGCAGCATAATCAGGATCACCATCATCACCAGTATCATCACCACCGTCATCGTCATCGTCATCAGCATCATCACCAGCTCATCATCATAATCACAAGCATCACCCTCGCCATCACCATAAAAAAACGTCATCATCACCATCATCAGGGACAGCAGCATCAGCATCAGCAACATCATCACTAGTGTCGTCATCATCAGCATCAATAGTATCATTATCATCCTCATCATCGTCATCATCGACGTCATCATCATCACAAGCATAATCCTCAGTGTCAGTGTCATCATAACCATCCTCATCGTCATCATCGTCATCGTCATCATCATTATCATCAACATCATCATCGCCATCATCACCAACAGCATCACCATTATCCGTTGCCGCCTCTTGCTGGCAGTCCGACCCCGCTACACCTCGGTGTCGCCTTCTGGACAATATTGGGCCCCACCTCTTGACACCACGGGGTCACGCGAGTGTTGACATTCGCGCACGCCGATCCGTGTTATAGTTGCCCATTGGCATGACTGAGGTCGTATGGTAAGTACCGACGAACTGGCCGAACTTCCCCCTCCTCCTAGTAGCGTCGGGATGGTCTCATAAGTATTTGAATGATCGTTCGCGTGCAGTGCGTAGACAACCAACGGTTCCCAAGGCAACTTTCGCTTGCTCCTCCCATGTGCTCTACCCCCTGAGTTTGGCCGATACTTACCTGAACTTCAGAAAACCTTCCCATCCCACCTTCCGTCTCCTCCTCCGCCTCCTCCTCCTACTCCTCCTCCTCGTTCTCATCATCATCATCATCATCAGCAGCAGCATCATCATCAGTGCTACCCCCTTCTTTAACTCATCCCTTTTCTCCTGTGGCTCATCGTCTCTCCCCGCCTCTTCCTGCAGATCACCGTTTATACAATCGTCCACTTCCTCCTCGCCTCATCCTCTGGTTCCTTGCCCTCCCCCATGGGACTTCTAGAAGCATCCGAATTCTGCGCACATGCACACGCAGATTCTGTGTTGCCCGCAGGCCCAGCGAGCGCGCGGGCCAGTCCAGCAGTGCAGGACATACAAAGAAGATTATCAATCATACACATCGACGTCTGTAGATACCTGTATACATATACATGTGTGAAAGCATGCTTACATCTACAAACATTCATGTGTCGTGTGTCTGTTTGTGCGCGCACGCTACCTCCTGCGATACCCCATCGCCGAGGGGAGGAAGAGGAGGAGGGGGTGGAGGAGGGGAGGAGGCTCAAGAGGAGGAAGCCCAGTAGGCGACTCCCTGCTACGACACACCCCCTCTCTTCGAGAGGCGGGAGAGACGGTGAACAGAGGTCGGCGCTGGGAGGCGGCGGTGGACACAGAAAGCGGAGCGCAAGGAGGAGGAAGGAAGGGAGGAGGAGTAAGGAGGAGGAGGGGGAGGAGGAGGGCAAGGAGGAGCACGGGCGGGAGGAGGAGGAGGAGGAGGAGGAGGAGGTGGAGAAGGAGGAACAGCAAGAGGCAGAGGGGACGATGACGACGACGACGACGACGACGACGAAACAGCTATCGTGCCCTCATCGGCTGCTGGGATGGCGGTCGTCGGCCCATGCACTGAGTCTCTCGTACAGGCATGCGGCGCGAGGGCGCGAAACACCGATGTGTGAAGCGTTGTCGCCCGGCTGGCCAGGGTGGCGCCCGGCGTCCCGCGGAAGGAGGCAGGGGAGCCGGGAGGCGAAGGGAGGCGCGCAGGAGGAGGACGCGAGAGGGGGACGCGAGGGGAGGACGAGGAGGAGGCACCGCGAGGAGGGCGCGGTGCCGCCGCGAGGGGCGCGTCGGGCCCGCGGCCCCCGCGCGGAGCCTCTCCTCCTGCTCCTCCTCCTCCTCCTCCTCCTCCTCCTCCTCCTCCCCTCTCCTCCTCCTCCTCCTCCTCCTCCTCCCCCTCGTCCTCCTCCTCCTCCTCCTCCTCCTCCTCCTCCTCCTCCTCCTCCTCCTCCTCCTCCTCCTCCTCCTCCTCCTCCTCCTCCCCCTCCTCCCCCTCCTCCGTTTCCTCCTCCTGGGCCCCACAGAGGCCGCCTCTCTTTCCGTCGTGCCTCCCGGCCGGGCCGGGCCGAGGCCGCCGGGAGGCCGCGCGCGCAGAGTCAAACGGCGCGGACGGCCCGGGCGAGCGCCGCGGCCCGAAGGGAAGGCGGAAGCAGCACAGCAAAAAGCTTGAGGGGAGCCCGGGAGAACCTCTCCCCCCCCCCAAGGAGCACAACAACTCCTGAGGAGGGTTTTTGGGGGGGGATCCTGGGGGATCCCGTAGAAGCCCCCCCCCCGCCCGCCCCACAAAGGCAACAAGACACCCTTTTTCGGGGGGTATTCTTAAGAGCCCGCGAGAACGTTGACGACGACGACGAGGGCGCTCGAGCGCGACGATCCGACGGCGACCACGACGGCCAAGGCGGCCAAGGCGACAGCGGGCGGGCGCGGCGCTGGTCGCCTGCCCCGCCCCGGCGCGCCGAGGGCGCCTCGGAGCCCGCGCCGAAGAGGGCTCCCTCGCTCTCTCTCGAGGGGTCGGCGGGGCCGGCTCTCCCCGGGCATCGCTCGGCCCTGTGAGCGATTGCGGCAACCTCGAATCCGAGAAACGTAGAAGACGTTCCTGACGGACACCTGTCGGATGACGAAGATATTTGGTGGAAACAAACATGGTATGGAGGCACTATAGCAAGAGACGGGCTACCCTCCGGCTCGGCCGACAGGGATCGTGTTCATCCCTTGGGGGGCGCATCTTTCACTGCCGCCGCCCTCCGCCGCCCTTCCGCCGCCTTCCGCTCGGCATCGCTCGGACGTGTGCATTTCTTCTTCGGCGAGGACCATCGAGGAGCATCCTCGATCATGTGGCGAAAAAACCACGCACGAAACCGACAAAAAACACAGGGAATTGACGTCCGAGCGATGGCGAGTCCGCGGCGGAAGAGACGACAGCTCGTTCGACGCTCGAGGGCAAGCCCCTCTTCGGACCGCCCCGTGCGCATCTCCTCCGAGGGCCACCGGGGAGCACCTGGGCTCGCATCTCGGGGACGAGTGGGCGCGCACGAGGTCGACAAAAATCAGGAGGGAAACAAAACACACAGACACAATTCATCGTCGATTCCCCAGAAAATATGGGAAACTATGGGAAGTGGGGGGGGGAAGACAAAAACTCACACAATATGGGAAAACATAGGTAATCCTTTTATTTGTGTGTATTTATTTGTGTGTCCTGGGGCCCCTTCAAAGAAGAAAGGCACGGGGGAAGGAGCGTCCGAGCGGTGGCGAGCCTGCCCTCGCCGTGTGCTGGGCCCGCGGGGGCCGGCGGGAGGCAAGACGAGGGCGGCTGCGACGGCGGGAGGCCTGCAATTTGCACCCCTCCCCTTCGCGCAGTATCGCTCAGCCGATCCCCATCCACATCCCGATCGCCACCATCCCACTTCCCCAGCTGAGCGGCGCAAGAAAACGGGGTCGGTTACGCCGACATTGGCGCGTAAGTTGCCCGCGTAAGCTCGCGCGTGAGCGCCCTCGTCTCCAATGTAGCGTGCCGCGCTGGCAGCCCACGTAAGCCGCTGCGCAAGCTCGCTGTGCCATCTCGCTTAAGACCCGTTCTTGATCGTCGCTCAGTTTGGGGTATGTCCCTCGAAGCTCGAAGGGAACAGCCTGTATCCCCATCTTGGGGGAAGGGGGAAGTCGGCCATTGGGGTCCAGGCCACGCTCGTGGGGATAGGGATCGGTCAAGCGATGCCCATCCGCAGAGATGCCGTTTGGGGGGGAGGGATTCGCCGTAGTCGCTCGCGCTGCGACGCTCGCTGGAGTCACTGGTGGCCTGCCTGCTTCGCGATCTCCGGTCGCCTGGCTCGTGATGCGAACGGTAGGCGCGCGGGCGAATGGGGCCAGCATCGAAACGTATGGTTGTTGTCACGGAAAGCACATCTTCGGGGGGAGGAGGGGGGGTCAATTTGGAGTTTCCAGAGCGGTCCAGCGGTCCACGAGGCTCGAATGAGAAAACACCATGGACACATATTTCTGGAGCGCCACACGGATCTCTTGGATCTGCGCTGAAGGCCCCCTGGCTGCGCCGCCCCTGGCGCGCTCCGCGCGCCAGGGATGGCGGTCCAAGACATCCGCGCGGAGGTCCCGAAAGTTTGTGCTGTGCCGTTCTCTCTTCTTCGAAGTCAGGGGGGATTCGGGGTTTCGGAATCGTCCACATGGAGTGGTTTATCAGCTTGAAACATACCCCTGTCCTTATGTTTGGCATCACCCGGCCTCCGCGCCGACCTCCAGGGTCTTCTCAGCTTCTGAGGGCACATCCCTGAGATTGTCCTCGCTGTGGGCTCGCCGATCTCAGGGATGGGGCTAAGTACAAGGCTGGCTGGTGGCCAGCCTGGTTGAGAGCTGGACGCGCGTGTGGCTGCACGCCTCGGCCGGCCGCCCCGGCCCGCTCGACGCGGAACTCTTCCACGTCTGAGCGCTTGCCCCTCCACCTCCCCCCCACGCGGCCGCTCCCGGCTTTTCGGATGCAACTCTTTGGAGGTCAAATTCAATTTTCGCCCTGGTCCGAAATCCGGCTTAATCCAGCTGAATGCCGCTGAATCCGACAGAATCCCGCTTAATGCCGCTTGATCCGGCTTAATCCCGCTTGATCCGAGGCCCTCTCCGGCGTAACAGCCCCCCAAGGGGGCTTAATCCTCCTTGAACCGCCCAGTAGTTGCCTCCTAACGTCTTTCTCCCCCCCCTCCTGCACGCCGGCCAGTTCGCCTTTCGGTGGCCCCGAATAGCCACACGCTGGAGCGGGTTGCCTCTGCCTCGCCGCTGACGGGAAAGAAAAAGCTGCGGCACTGCACGCCTCTCCGGCGCCTGGCCCTCGTGCGGCCGAGTTCGCGGGCCCTCCTCGGCACGCGCACATCCCCCGCGCGGCCCCCCTGCGTCGCCAGTGCCGCGCGAGGGAGAGCCCCGCCGTGGGCGCCGGCATGGCATGGAGTTCGGGGCGCCCGCCGTCATGCCCGTCAGCACCTGTGCCAGAGGGCTTCGGCCGCCTCTGGGGAAACAGGCGGGCCGCAGCCCGATGGTCACCGCAGCTGGACGCAGCTCGGGGAGAGATTCTTGCCGCTCGGCCTGGCCAGTCGAGTGCAGGGTCCGGCCCTTGGATCAACCCTGGAAGGGCTCCTCTAAACGGAGTTGCCTCACGGGGACCTCCTAACGTTCAGAGGCGAGGAGGAACTATGGTCATGTTGGCGTGGGCCTCACGAGAAGCCGAGCCTCTCGGCCAAGGAGTGGCGAAGCGTCCCGACACGCCTAAAGGTCCACCAAACCATGATATGAGAGCTTCTTGTAGCTTGCACGAGACGTTATGAGAACATTTCTGGCTGGGGCCGTTTTGTGTCTATGCATCGGCAGGGGCGTGATTTATGCCATGGGATCATATAAGAACATGCCAGCCAGCGCGGGCCCCAAACAGTGTGTTTCTAGCCATATGTGTTGTGCAATTGATGTGGTGCAACATATGTTGAGCACCCTACGTGGTGTAACATACGTGGTTCAATCCATGTGGTGCAATGCGTACGGCCCAATACATGGTGTGCAAAGTATGTGGCGCTGTCTAAGTGGTGCAATCTTCGTGGTGCAAAAGGTGTTGTTCACTCTATGTGGTTCGATATATGGCATGCAAACCATGTGGCGCAATTTAAGTGTGTATGTATCTAGATGGTGCACCCTATGTTGTGAATCTATGTGGTGCACCCCATGTGGTGCAAGTTCCATGCAATCCATGTTGTGCAAGCTATGGGGTGCAATCTGCGTGGTGCAATCTATGTGGTGCGATCTATGTTGTGCAGCGCTCTGTGGTGCAATCCATTTGGTGCACTGTAGCGCAGCGACGAGGCGGCGACGGGGCTACGACGGCGGCTACATAGCCGCCAGACCGAAGACACGGCCCAGACGACGGGCGGCGACGAAGCGGCGACGCGCCGTAGACCGGCCACACGGCCCAGTTCCTTAGAGCAGAAGTAAGAAACCCCAAATGCAAGCATTGTTCGGGGAATCCCGTGGTAGGAATATAAGAATGCCAGGACGGTCGGTCCTGTTTCAAGCCAGCGACACGAAAGCCCGGTCGAGGTCCCGTTCATGCAGCCAGTCATCTCGGAGTGGTACCTCTCCTTCTGCAGCACCATCTACTGCGAGGCCTGATGGGGGGGCGCGTGGAGGAGGCGGAGGAGGAAGAGGAAGAGGAGGAAGAGGAGGAAGAGGAGGAGGAGGAGGAAGGAGGAGGAGGGAATAGAGGAGGAGGAGGACTGGTAGGAAGGACCAGGAGGAAGGCGATTGTAAGAGCGTCAGCAGCGGTGGTCAGGATATTGAGAACGGGCAGGAACGTCTGGTCTGTAGGGTGAGGAGGAAGGGAGGAGGGATATTGCTGGGCTCGACGAAATGTACATGTCCCATGAGCTTGTATAGCTCAGAAGGGCGCTGTGCGCAGAGTTTCGATATTAAGATGGGCGCGGAACGTGAGGAGGAGGAGGAGGAAGAAGAAAGATGAGGGAAGAGGGAGGAAGAGAAAGGAGGAGGAGGAGGGAGGAGGAGAAGGAGTGTTCTCCGTCAAAGCAACGAGACGTGCTGCAAGAACCAAGCATCGCTCGGTGGTATGATCAGAGAGTTGGGCGGAAGGGGGCGGCGGGGCGAACGGCGTTGATTTATCCCTGATTGCGCGTCCATGTCGGGGTCGCTGCAGAAGGTAGTGGGGGCGCTCAGCGAGCGGAGTTGGCAGGGGAACTGAATTCGAGCAGTCGGTACGGAGAGTCCCCAGACTTCTGGGGCAGTGATGTTTCAACCCGTGGGCCCCAGTACTGTCGACCCCTTCCCTGGGGCGAGTTGTGCATCCCGGACCGGTCTTCGATGACGCCCCGGGGCTTGAAAACGGCCCCAGGAGGCCGAAGCCGAGGAAAGACGTGGAGATTAGAAGGTCAATCCCCCAGAGGTCTCCGGAGGCCCCCAGAGGTTCTTGGGGACTTCTGGATCAGCAGGAAGACACGAGGAGGGGGAGAAGTAGGACAAGCAGGATGAGGAGGAGGAGGGTGTAGGAGGAGGAGGAGGAAGAGGAGGAGGAGGAGGAGGAGCAAGAGGAGGAAAAGGAGGAGGAGGTGGAGGAGGAGGAGGAGGAGGAGCAGGATGACACGTGCGCGCGGCGCTGCCGATAGGAAACGGGGGCCCGTCAGCACAGGAGCGTCGGGGAAACTGGCCTTGGAGGACGAGCTGCACGGTGAAGCATGCGAGCGCTCCATGTGGGGGCATGTTGGGTTCGAGGTTTAGGTCGGACATGCCCCTCTAAAGGAGGAATATATATATATATATACATATGATTGAATATATATATATATTCCTTCTACCTATCAAATTACAAGGAAAAACCCGGCATGTCACCGACACCCCCCCCCACATGGACCCCAGATGAACCCCACAGGCTCCCAAGAGAGCCCCACAATGCTTCGAGACGGCCCAAAATACCCCGAAGAGAGCGACACGAGGCCTACATCGGGAGCCCAAGACAGCAGAAGGCACTTCCGAGACGCCCTCTGCAAGGCCCAAGAGGCCCCAAGACGGCCCCATAGTGCTCCAACAGGATCAAACATGGGCTCAAGACTGTCCAGGATGCCCCCGCAAAGACCTCCAACACGGCCTCAGCAGGCCAAAAACCTTAATTTTCCATGTATTTTTGAACGATTCTGTGCTTCTCGCCTTTTCTGGCCACGAACGGCCCAATAATGATCTGCGAGCTTCCGAGGTCGCCCCGAAATGGCTTCCAGGCGGCCCAATGGGGCCCCAAGATGGGTCAATGAAGCGCAAAGAAAGCCAGGGAGCGCCCAAGAGACCCCTAAAAGACCCCCAAGAGGGCTCCAACAGAGTCACGGGATGCTTCAGAGAGGGCCCGAGAGAGCCCCAACACGGCCCCAGGACGGCCCAAGCCCCCCCAGACAGCCCACGAGGGCCCCAGGACAGCCCAAGAAGGCCCTCCGATGGTATACAAAAGCACCAACAGGAGCTCCACTCAGTCTTAGAGCCGTCAAATTCTTTACACTCTGATTGACCTGAGCGGCCCCCCCCATCGCCCCTAGTTCTTCTCAACCTCGCCCCAAGACGGCACATGAGGCCCTGCAGACATCCCCACTAGAGCCCAAGAGGGTTCCAAGATAACTCTCGGCATGACCTACTCGGACGTCCGACAGCCCATCTCTCGTCCTTCTCTACCTCCTCCTCCTCCGTTTCCCCCTCTCTGCCCCTCATCCCCTCCTCAACCTCCTTCTTCCCTCGAACTCGTCGCCTTCCTCCTCCTCCTCGTCCTCCTCCTCCTCCTCCTCCATCGCCCTCTCCTCATTTGCCTCCACCGACTCCGGGATACGAAAACTGATACCCATTTTCTCAGGAGGTTTTCTCCTGATCCTCCTCCAGCTGCTCCTTCGAGGCTCTGAAGACATCCCCAAGAAAGTGCAAGAAGGTTCCAACCTAACTCTCGACACCAACTCTTCGGAAATCTCCTCCTTCGAGGCTCTGAAGACATCCCCAAGAAAGTCCAAGAAGGTTCCAACCTAACTCTCGACACCAACTCTTCGGAAATCTCCTCCCAACCTCCTTCTGCTGCTCCTCCTCCTCCGGCTCTTTATCCTCCTGCTCCTCTTGCTCCTCCTGTAGTTCGTTGTCTTCCTCCTCCGCTGCCTCGTCAAAAGCCCCAGACCACATACTCTTATCACAAGCTCCCCAAAAGCAACCAGGGGTGCCAAGACAGACCAAGGGGGCTCCGAAGAGGGCCCACGACAGGCTTCCAGGGTCCGGGGAACCACAATTTGATGCGCAGTTCTCCTTTCGTCTCAGGAGCCCACGGAACACTCGCGAGAACTAAAACATACCCCAGACCCCAGACTGCTATCACCAGCTCCCCTGAAGAACCCACGAGACTCCTGGACGGTCCAAGAAGACCCCACCACGGGCCTACGACAAGGCTTCCTCTTGCTCTTCCTCCTCCTGCTCCTCTCTCTCCTGTAGTTCGCTGTCTTCCTTCTCCGCTGCCTTCTGAAGGGCCCCAGATCTGAGACTCATATCCAAGCTCACCAAAGACACCAAGGCGCCACAAGACACACCTCGGGGGCCCCAAAGAGATCCCACGACAGGCTTCCAGGGTCCGGGGAACCACAATTTGATGCGCAGTTCTCCTTTCGTCTCAGGAGCCCACGGAACACTCGGGAGAACTAAAACATACCCCAGACCCCAGACTGCTATCACCAGCTCCCCTGAAGAACCCACGAGACTCCTGGACGGTCCAAGAAGACCCCACCACGGGCCTACGACAAGGCTTCCTCTTGCTCTTCCTCCTCCTGCTCCTCTCTCTCCTGTAGTTCGCTGTCTTCCTTCTCCGCTGCCTTCTGAAGGGCCCCAGATCTGAGACTCATATCCAAGCTCCCCAAAGACACCAAGGCGCCACAGGACACACCTCGGGGGCCCCAAAGAGATCCCACGACAGGCTTCCAGGGTCTGGGGAACCACAATTTGATGCGTAGTTCTCCTTCCGTCTCAGAAGCCCACGGAACACTCGCGAGAACTAAAACATACCCCAGACCCCAGACTGCTATCACCAGCTCCCCTGAAGAACCCACGAGACTCCTGGACGGTCCAAGAAGACCCCACCACGGGCCTACGACAAGGCTTCCTCTTGCTCTTCCTCCTCCTGCTCCTCTCTCTCCTGTAGTTCGCTGTCTTCCTTCTCCGCTGCCTTCTGAAGGGCCCCAGATCTGAGACTCATATCCAAGCTCCCCAAAGACACCAAGGCGCCACAAGACACACCTCGGGGGCCCCAAAGAGATCCCACGACAGGCTTCCAAGGTCTGGGGAACCACAATTTGATGCGCAGTTCTCCTTTCGTCTCAGAAGCCCACAGAACACTCGCGAAAACTAAAACATACCCCAGACCCCAGACTGCTATCACCAGCTCCCCTGAAGAACCCACGAGACTCCTGGACGGCCCAAGAAGACCCCACCACGGGCCTACGACAAGGCTTCCTCTTGCTCTTCCTCCTCCTGCTCCTCTCTCTCCTATAGTTCGCTGTCTTCCTTCTGCGCTGCCTTCTGAAGGGCCCCAGATCTGAGACTCATATCCAAGCTCCCCAAAGACACCAAGGCGCCACAAGACACACCTCGGAGCCCCAAAGAGATCCCACGACAGGCTTCCAGGCTCTGGAGAACCACAATTTGATGCGCAGTTCTCCTTCCGTCTCAGAAGCCCACGGAACACTCGCGAGAACTAAAACATACCCCAGACCCCAGACTGCTATCACCAGCTCACCTGAAGAACCCACGAGACTCCTGGACGGTCCAAGAAGACCCCACCACGGGCCTACGACAAAGCTTCCTCTTGCTCTTCCTCCTCCTGCTCCTCTCTCTCCTGTAGTTCGCTGTCTTGCTTCTCCGCTGCCTTCTGAGGGGCCCCAGATCTGAGACTCATATCCAAGCTCTATCTTGAGCCATGCTTGGCTATCTTGGGCCATTTTGGAGGCCATCTTGGGCTATCTAGGGCTCTCTTGGAGCCATCTTGGGCCAAAAAGGGCGGGGTGGAGAATCTTCAGGAGAGGCTGGGAGGCCTCTCGGGCCCGTCTTGGGCCCCATTGTTCAAAAAGAGCGGGGGTCCTCAGTTCAGGTCCCCCCCTCGGAGGCTCTCAAACGGCGTCTTGGGGACGTGTTGGAGCGCTCTTTGGAAGCCTCTTGGGCGATCTTGGGGCCGTCTTGGGCCTTCTTGGGCCCCTCTTGGGGCTCTCTTGGGCCATCTTGGGGCCATCTTGATGCCTCAGGGGCCCATCGGAAGCGAAAAGACGAGAATGCCAAACACATTGACTTTCCTTAGGCTTTTGAAGGGTTTTGGCTTCTTGGAGGGCGCCGTGGAGGGCTCGAAGGGCACGTGGATCCGTCTTGAGGACTCTTGGAGGTGTGTCGGAGGCTATCTTGACCCATCTTGAGGTATCTTGGGCCATCTTGGAGGCCATCTTGCGACTTGGAGCGCCTCTTGGAGCCATCTTGAGCCATCTTGGACGCTCTAACGCCTCCATCCCCCCCCCCCCTCCAGGTCCAGGGGAAGGTTACCCCTCCCCCGAGCAGGGGAAGGAAGGGGAAGAGAGAAGACCAAACTCGTTATACCACCGTAGCCC